CAAAGTTCCTACCGTAATCCTACAGTAATGAAGAGAGAATTGATAACTCACTCTATAATGCATACTAAGTTGAAGCCAGCCCTTCAGAATGGTTCCTGAAGCTTGTTAAAAGACATCAAGATAAGAGAGTTATTAACAATCGAACAGTAGGCACATTTTTTTAGGACAGTATAAGTAGTTAGCATAATCCAGCAAGCACAGTGGTGTTTGTATTGACTAATTTCTTGCTCTACCTTGATTTTCCCTTCATCTTAGCTGTTGCTTTGCTTATTCTAGAAGAAGTCTCCTCCACAGTGCTGGCCAAATCTGTAGGTCCACCAAAATTTGCTGCAACTATCTCCTATTCCATTATAAACTTGCCATGCTTACAAATACGAATCACTCAATTGGGGTGGGTCGCTCAATTCTGCCAGGACAATATACGTGGTTCATATTTCTAAGCATTACAAGTTTACAATAGAAATACATGGGATTTTGTCACATGTTTTGAGAACCTAGGTAAAACTTTGATTACCTGGTTATCAATGTCGTAACTAAACTGTTGTGTCAATAATGTGGACATCATCCACTTTGAAAGAATACTCAAAAAAGATTAATGCTTTGTGGACGCTGCTTTACAGGCTTCAACCATCACTTTGTATGGATTGGTAAAATCTTGCACACCAGCGGGCATAATACTTTCTGAATTATATTTGTGTGCGGGTTCAACATATGCAAAAAGGCTGCAAAATTCAGTAATCTGGTTCGAGAACCCACGAAAAATGAAAAATGACTGACGCTGTAGGAAAAATTGGAACCTCATCTTGCTTGTGGCAGGAGATGGCACTCCATTATCGGAATCATAAATCAAATCAGAACAGCCTTATAATGTTTATTAGGGGTAACCCGTAGTGCTCATACATATTAATATTAATCGTAACTTAGGTCGCAATATTCTTGCATGCATTGTCATCAAAGTATAATAGTTGCTATTTCATTGGTCTTATCTATGATTTGTTGAGATCAGTCGGAGTCTGAATCCGAATCCGAATCTGATTCTGAATCGGTGAGCACTGCTTTCACATTAGCACTTTCATCGGGCTGAAAGAAGGAAACCAGTTCCGAGCACATAAAATAGCTTCTTACATCTGGAAACTCCACCGAAACTTCTCCGGCCATTATTGCGAACGCCAGCGGGACTTTCGGAGATGGCTAAAAGCTCCCGAAGAGATGCTAAAACTACAGAATTTATTTAGACGCAACTTACCCACTCAGCGGTATTTTCGGCCTCTTCGCTGCTCTGAATAATTTATTAAAGCTGTAAAACCTTGCATGCATTTCACATACCGCTTTTTTATCACTTTCTTCTGATAGTGATTTCTGTATGAAAATTGGTCGTTTCCCCTAAACGGACTAGTAAGGTGCTTACTCAATGCATGGACAAAGCATTTTTACGCACTCCCTCAACTTTCTTATGCTCATTAAACGATGGCCGTCTCTCACGTAATGCAATTTGATTTAGTGGCTTTCTATTCTGATCTGCAGATTGCTGCGTTGTAGGGGCAGGTTGAAGCTTTGTCCTCATCGTTGAAGGAGTTTCTTTGCCTTGCTTCGGGCGTCCTAGTAGTGGAGCATTAGCTACGCTGTTGAGTAAATCCTGTATCAACGATTTGAGCAAAGTATAAGCATTTCGGGACGGCTTACCTTAGTTCCATTTCTTACTTTACAACTTCTCGTCCGAGCCATTGCTGAGGAGGAATCTTCCCATGAAGAGCTTAAAGACGTGGCACTGAACTGTGGAAAGCATCCCGTTATGTGACCAGGTTTCTTGGGCTCTGATAGCTCTGATACCTGATATCATTCTTACAAAATCGCGGTGAAGACTTACAATCAAAGCTCGTTCATACCTGGGTATGTTCCACTGTGGGAAATTTATTTCCTCGTAA